CTTCACCAAAATATTGGTGAATCGGATGAAAGAGACCCTCCCAAGCCTCATTCACCCAGCCCAAGTCAGTTTCGTCCCGGGCCGTAATATTATAGACAACATTGTTATTGCTCAAGAGCTCATCCATTCCATGCGACGGAAATCAGGAGTGACGGGCCGTATGGTTATCAAAGTCGACCTTGAAAAAGCGTATGATTACCTAAGATGGGATTTCATTGAAGAAACCCTTGGTCTAGCAGGTTACCCCGACGTTTTGGTCACAGCCATCATGGCTTGTGTACGCTCGGCATCGATGACTCTCTTATGGAATGGCACGATTGGGGAAGACTTTCAACCTACGCGTGGAGTTCGACAGGGCGATCCCATCTCCCCTTATCTCTTTGTGCTATGTATGGAGAGACTAGCCCAACTCATCGATAAAGCGGTCGAGGTTAAAGCTTGGAAGCCGATTTCCGTTGGGCGAGGGGCTGTCTCTATCCCGTTTTTAATGTTCGCCGACGATTTGCTTCTCTTTGCGGAGGCCTCTGAGGAGCAGGCAGGCGTTCTTAAGCAAACCCTCGATTTCTTTTGCACTATCTCGGGCCTCAAAGTTAGCGCAACAAAGACCCAAGTTTTCTTTTCGAAGAATGTACAGCTTAACACTCAACATCGGCTGGCGGAGTCCCTCAACTTTAAATGGACGGATAACCTGGGAAAATATCTGGGTGTCCCGGTCCTACATGGACGAGCGAATTACTCCACCTACTCGCATATAGTTGACAAGGTGGAAGCGCGACTAGCTGGATGGCGCATGCGTACTCTCTCGCTTGCCGGACGGGTGACCCTCACCCAATCTGTGCTTAACTCATTACCCTATTTTTCAATGCAATCCGTATTACTGCCGGTCGCTCTTACGGAAGGCTTGGAGAGGCGCAGTAGAGCATTCGTTTGGGGCGGTACGAACGAGGCCCGTAAAATCCCTTTGGTCGCCTGGCGTGATGTGTGTCAACCGAAAGAGGAAGGAGGTCTCGACATCAAAGATATGCGACGCATGAATTTGGCTCTTTTGATGAAAATTGCGTGGGGTTTATTGACGAATAAAGAATCCTTATGGACGAAAGTTCTTACAGCTAAGTATGGCATCTCAACCGCGATTGACCTGGATTCTTCTCGTTGCAAGCGTGGGTCTGCTTTAATGAAAGCTTTGGGAAAAGTGTGGCCGGATATATTTAAACAAGCCCGTTGGAGTTTAGGTAATGGAACCACGGTTCGTTTTTGGATCGACCCCTGGTTAGGGACGGTTGGCCCGCTTATACATTACGCATCTCGCCATCCGGCTGAAAGTTGCTTGTACTCACCGGTAGCGGCGTTTGTCGACGAGGGCGGCGACTGGAAATGGTCGGAATTCCATGGCCTGCTTCCATCGACGATCGTCTTACGTATCGCGGGTACCCTCCCACCTCGACTTGAAGCTGGTGCGGATCGCCTCCTATGGGGACCGTCGCAGGACGGCGAATTCTCAACTAGAACGGCATATCAAGCCCTCAGCCCGGCTGTTAGAGATCCAGATAGTAGGCTTTGGAAAACGGTTTGGAGTACACCAGCCCCACAGAGGGTCCGTACCTTCCTTTGGTTGGCGGCAATAGATCATTTAATGACTAATATGGAACGAACTAGGCGTCACATCTCCAATTCGGCGTTATGCGAGGATTGTGGCGAGATGGAATCGTCCCTCCATGTGCTGCGGGATTGCCCGAGCACTAAGAGGCTGTGGCGACTCTTGATCCCGGCGGACGCGCTCGCTGATTTTTTCCACAAACCACTTCGGGACTGGCTGCTTCATAACCTATCAGTCGCGCGAGTTGGACAGTACAAGGACTGGAGCTGCGTTTTCGCCTTCACTGCGTGGAGCTCGTGGAATTGGAGGAATGAGCGAATTTTCAACTCCAGGTCCTTACCTTGCGAAAATAGACGGCTGGAGGTGCTGAGAAAAGTGGCTACTTATGATCGTGCGTGTGCAGCATACAGGCGGATTGGAGTGAATAATTATGAGGAACGTGTTATACATTGGAAACCCCCCGATCCGGGTTGGACTAAGGTTAACACCGACGGAGCCTTTGATAGCAAGACTGGAATGAGCGGGGCAGGTGGTTTACTTCGAGATGACCAAGGAAAGTGGATAGAGGGCTTCACTATGAATATTGGCTTCAACACCATTACGGGAGCCGAGCTTTGGGGCATTTTTCAAGGTCTACAGTTGGCATGGGACCGTGGTTTCCGTCAGATTATAGCGGAGATTGACAGTCAAGCGGTGGTCAAAATGATCAAGGGTCCGGGGCAGAAATTTGGGGTCCATGATTCTTTTGTCCGAGCTATTAGGGAGCTGACTACAAGGGACTGGAATATTCGGATCCTACATGTGCATCGAGAGGCAAACTACTCAGCGGATCACTTGGCGGGACTAGCGGCAGCAACCCCCTGGGACTACATCGCCTCTCTTCACCGCCGCCAGGCCTAAGTGCTTGGCTTGACCACGACGTTCGGAGGGTGTCTTATCCTCGTAGAGTACTAGCTTAAACGCTTAGGCCTTTGGCCTCTATCTTTGTACCAAAAAAAAAAAAAAAAAAACTTGTATTAGTTTTTAATTACACTAATTAATGGAGATCAATCATAAGCAAATGACGCTTATATAAATAAATAAATAAACTGGAGTTGAATATAAGGTATTAATAACACTGCAAGATGTGACTCGTAAAAAAATTATGGAATGATGATACAATGTTAAAAAAAATAATTAGTTGGAAAAAAACTCAAAATAACTGAATAATAGAAATTGAGTAAAAATCTATAAGATTTTCTATATAAAAAGACTTTCTAGAGTAGGGTTCCACACGAATCGAGCAGCTCACGAGCGCTCGAGTCAAAGCTCGACTCGAGCTCGAATTGACCGAATTGTAGTCGAGCTCGAGTCTATATTTTGTATTGCCGAGCTGCTCGCGAGCGGCTTGAAATATATGTTGAATTACTAAAATACCCCTTGTATATATATATATGTATCATACTATTAATATATGTACTTAATGGCAATTTACAAAATTGCTTGAAAATTTCGAACTGAAACTCGAGCCGAGCTCCAGTTCTTGTATTTTCTTATCGAGTCGAGCTCGAGTCTCATAAATCGAGCTCGAGTTGGAGCAGCTAAACAAAAATTCAATCCTACTCAATAAGGTCAATGATCGATTCGACTCAGCTAGTTTCCAGTCCTATTATATAATAATGCCTTTTGTGTGTGTGGTGTCGTATGGAATTGAAAGTGAGCAATGCAGAAAATTTGTACTAACACAAATATTGCTCGAAAAATGTTGTTTTTGTTATAAAACTAGAGAGAAAAGAAAGAGAATAGAGAAAATATTTCTCTTAGGTACAATTTTCATTATAACTGAAGCTCCTATTTATAGGAAACTTCTGATGGCACAACCGTAATAATACAATTACATCGGGGGCAAAATAGTCATTCACATACATAAAATTAATGGTGGTGGACCATATATATTTATAACACTCCCCCTTGAATGACTATTTTCTAAACATATTTGAATCATTATTTGAACAAAGCCCAATCTGCACATCTTTAAGTATATCTTGTGGCCATCAGGTACCGCTGCTTTAACATATCAGGAAAACCCGATGGGACAAAACCTGATCATCTTGAAATCATATTATTTCTTTCTCAGGAAAACCCGGTGGGACAAAACCTGATCATCTTGAAATCATAGCATTT